AGATTAGCTTTTGTAATACATATACAGAGAATCCCACATCTACTCCTCTTTGAGCATAAGGGAAAAAAACACAATTACTTAATTTCTAAAATGGTGCTGGTCGTAATAGTTCACTTTCCCCCAATTTTTTTTTCCTTGTCTCCCTTGCTGAAAATTGTCAAGACAGCTGACTAGCCCTGGTCTTTAATAATGGCAAGCCAAGAGTGTTAGAGAGTTCTACGTGGGCTAATGGTTTCCCGGCCTAAGACAGCTGGTCTTCAGATGACATTTGCTAACAGCATTAAACAGCATCAGCTGGAAGTATGTATGAGGGACCCTTCTGACATAATCATCATTAGTCACTCACAGTTTTATAACCAGCAGCTTATAATGGTATCCTCTTATCATCTAAATATTTACCAGTCCTATCAATATGATTTACACATGGCTTCAAAAAGAATTCTGATTTTTAAGTTGGTTATTTAGAAATATGACATACTGACTTATCCTCGTGAATAAAAATACAGATCCTGTTTAAATTCAGGTGTGGTTAAAACCATAACGAGATACTAATATACACGTATTATAGTGGCTAAAAAAGACAGAGTAAAACAGAACCAACTGGCCATTCCAAGCGCTGGCTAATAAGGACACAGAACAATTGTAATTCTCATGTAAACCCTCGGGAAAGCACAATGGGACAGACACTTTGGAAAACAGTTTAGCAGTTTCTTAAAATGTCAAACACAGTTACCATATGACCCAGCAATCCTACTCCTAGGTAATTTACCCAAGTGAGATGAAAAATTATGTCCAAACAAAGAGCCTGTAAGTGAATGTTTATAGCAGATTTATTCATATTGGCCTCAAATAGGAAACCACCCAAATGTCCATTAACTGGTGACTGGATAAACAAAGCATGGCCCTTCCTTACCATGGAATGCCATTCAGCATAAAAAGAACGAACAACAGACACATACAGCAACACAGATGAATCCCAAATTCGTCATGCTGATGAGTGACAGAAGCCAGACTCAAGAGGTTGTACACAGTACGATTCCACTTATATGACTTTCCTGAAAAGGCAGAACCATGAGGGTAGAAAACAAATCAGTGGTTGCTGGGAGTGGGGTGGACTAAAAAGGGGCATAAGGGAATTTTGGGGGGTGGTGATGGAATTATTTTATATACTGATTGTGGTAGCGACGGTTACACGACTGTACGAATTTGTCAAAACTCATAGAACCCTCAAAAGAGTATTTTTATTGTGTGTAAATTTTACCTCGATCGACCTAAGAAAATAATTCAGTGTGGTAACCTGAAGGTAAATAAGAATTTCAAATATGGGTATGCTTTTCTTGGATACCTAAAGATATAAACGAAAGCCTGCAACCTTACTCTCCCTGTGGCAGAGACAGGTTAACTTTGTTGCCAGCTTCAGATCAGGTTAAGGCTACCATGTTACCATGGATACAAGCTATTATTTCCTTTTGTGTGAAACCTCTAATATTAAATTGTGACTCACATGCAAGGCAAGGGGAGACTAAGAAACAACCAGACAAAGTCACCGGAGGCTTTTTCATTTTTCAGAACCCTGCCCTTAAAGTTTCCTCCATGAACTCATGAGAAACCATGTGAAGTCAGTGAACATATCCTTCAGGGATGAAAAGAAGAAAGGTTAGAAACTTTTTGGCTAAACTTGAAGGCAATTCTAAAAATTTTATGCTAGTCTTAAGGTTGTTAAGACTGTTTATATTCTGTTTGTTGCAGAAATAATTTCCCCTATATGGATTGCTAAAACAATGACATATGAGAGACCAGCCCTCTCCTCTATCTGTTGACTTGCCTGGGAGACGATGCTTTTCTGATTTATAAAGTGGACAGAGGGCAGATTGAGGGTGGGTTTTCAAGTCAGGAGAAGTCTTTGCAGTGGGGCTCAAACTGGCAAGTTGTGGGGATTCACTCAAAGCGGGTAAGGTAGAAAGATGACTCTTAAATGAGCACATATATTTAAAAACTATATTAAAGATGTGTTGCCAGTGATCGCCGTGCATCCACCTAACCACTAGTAAAAATGAAAATCATAACTGCTGCCTTTGAGCTAGTGCGTTCAGCGTGCTAAGGAGGCGCTACGTGGACCCCTAGGGCATCACCTCTCCCCACACCTTGCCCTGCCCTTTATGATCCAAGAATACCAAACAACCCAGAGCTCCCCAGGGGCACCAGGCCGAGTTCTTGCCTCTGCCTTTGTCCATTCGTTCCTCCATTCAACAAATATTGAATTGTGTCCCCCCAAATTTATATGGTGATGTTCTAAAGCCTGTACTTCAGAATGCAAGCTTATTTGGAAACAGGGTCACGGCAGGTGTCATTAGTTAAGATGAGGTCACACTGGAATAGTGTGAGCCCCTTAATCCTATACAAATTGTGACCTTATAAAAAGGGGAAATTGGGACACAGGCACACACGCGGGGAGAAGACCATCTGAAGACGAAGGCAGAAAGCAGGGTGATGCATCTACAAGCCAAGGAAGGACAAAGCTCGCCAGCAAACCTGAGGAAGAAAGGGGAAAGTCCGGAGTAGACTCTCCCTCGCCGCCCACAGAGGGACCAACCCTACCAGCACCCTGCTCTTGCACTTCTAGGTCCAGAACTGTGAGACAATAACTTTCTGTGGTTTAAACCAAACCAGAACAAACCAAAACAAACTCCCAAACAAAATTCCCCCAAAAACAAAACAAACACAGTAAAGTACATTTCCTATGGACAAGGAGATCCTGCCAAAGTATGAGAAGCCGCGAGAACGGAACTGCTCCTTTAAGGGGCTGGAGCTCGGTGGGGATGCACAGCGGGGGCTCCAGTGTGGACTGGGGCGGGGCGCTGACACCCCGCATGCTTCTTCCTGATTGGCTAGCTCACCCTCGCCTCCTGACTTCTTTCAGATTTGAATCTTCAACCAGCTTAAAGGTTTTTTTTTTTTTTTATTTTATTATCTTTATTGGAGTATAATTGCTTTACAATGTTGTGTTAGTTTCTTCTGTATAACAAAGTGAATCAGCTATACGTATACATATGTCCCCATAACCCCTCCCTCTTGCGTCTCCCTCCCACCCTCCCTATCCCATCCCTCTAGGCGGTCACAAAGCACCGAGCCGATCTCCCTGTGCTATGCAGCTGCTACCCACTAGCTATCTGTTTTACATCTGGTAGTATAAAGACGCAGACGTTGAGAATGGACTTGAGGACACGGGGAAGGGGAGGGTCAGCTGGGACGGAGTGAGAGACTGGCATGAACTTATATATACAGCTTAAAGGTTTATATCAACTTTTCATGCTACCAGAGTCATGTTTTCTGGAGGAAAAGAGGGCCCGATGCATGAGGTATGAGAGACGGCAGACGCTCCTCCTCCTGCACCCCCAACGTGTGGACAGATGGACAAGCCCCGGGAGCTCCCCGCGGCAGCTGTTAACACCGATTTCCAAGTGCGGGGGGCCTGAGCCCCGCCTGTAATGACATTTTCCTGGCTGGGTCTGACCTCTGAATCTCGCTGATTTGTCTAACACACACTGTGAACATCAGCGAGTTGGGACTCAAAGCCAAGACGCCAAAATTGCTTTTAAATGGCAGGAGATGTTTAAGAGAGAATTTCTGTGACTTGGTCATTAACTTGTTTGTATCCCGATCCACGCTTTTTTACATCCCTTCCTCTCAATTATTTTTTTCCTGCTTGGCGGAGGTTTTAGCAGCAGTTACCTCTAATCATCAAGACACTTTTGTAGGCAACTCAGGCTCCTGCTCTTAGAGAGCAGTCAATATTGGTGGGGGAATTTGAAAAAAATATCCTACTCACTATATAATTGCCCATCATCTTGCTTATATTTTCCTTGTTTATAGAAAACAATCTTTTTTTCCAGAAAAGAGTGGTTAGATTTATATATTCAGAGGAGTAATACAAATAACCATGTGTGATGATAATTTAGGCTACATTATTCTAAGATAACTCACACACCTTAGGAGTATCACATATCAATCAATGTTTTCAGATATAAACCCAGCTATGACTCTTTGATTCTACCCTCTGCTGCCAGTGCCCAGTTTTTTCCCACCCCCTCAAGCCCTCATTTCCCACAGTCCACGTTCCTTCTGCTTCCTCCAAAGACCACAGCTTCTATCTCTTTCTTTTTTTTTTTTGCGGTACGCGGGCCTCTCACTGTTGTGTCCTCTCCCGTTGCGGAGCACAGGCTCCGGACGCGCAGGCTCAGCGGCCATGGCTCACGGGCCCAGCCGCTCCGCGGCATGTGGGATCCTCCCGGACCGGGGCACGAACCCGCGTCCCCTGCATCGGCAGGCGGACTCTCAACCACTGCGCCACCAGGGAAGCCCTTCTATCTCTCTCTTACATGAGCTGGAAAGACCCAGCTTTAACTTGAGTGTGCCAGGATGAAGCCTGTCGATCTTTAACAAAAGCAGAGATGCTGGCCTGTTTCTGAAGTTACCTATCGCCCCAAATTTTAGTGGTTCATCCATCCCATCAACAAACATTTCTGAAATACACAGTGTGTTCAGAGAACCAGTCTACATCCTAAGTATCATCCAAGAGAAATGGAAATAATACAGTTTACGTATTCATCGATCTCAAAAACAAACTCGCCACGCTTTTGTAGAAATCAGTCTGCCTGCTTTTAAGTTGAGAAGTTCTAAGATTACAGAACACTGGTGTCACAACTGGCAAGGATTTTCTGACCTTTTGCCATGAGGCTAAATTTTATGTACGGAGCTTTCAAACTCCTAGATTCTCTTCCTTTGCTTCCCACTTCGAGGGTGTAGAGCTTCAACCTATTACTTTAGCGTGGCTTCTCCCCTGACCCTCCCCTTCCACGGTCATCAGCACTTTCCTGACCTAGCCACTCAGCTTTTCTGCTGTTCTATTTTCTCCTCCACCTTTCCCAGCAAACAGCCGCCACTGCATACGCACGTCCCTTTCTCTCGAGAGCAGAGACAACCAATGCGGGCGCAGGTACCTGTTGCATGCCTTGCATGGTCTGCTGCAGGAACTGCACCTGCTGGTCCTTGGTCAGGTTTTCTTCCGTTCGAAACAGCTGCTCTTTCTCCTGCTTCAGCAGCTCCACTTCGTTCCTGTAGGCGTCCAGCTGCCACCGGAGGCTGTCGTTCTCTTCTTTAAGCGCGTAGGCCTGGGCGGCCAGGGCTGAGGGGCAAACAGAATGAGTCCAAGTTGAGTGACCTTCTCGCTTATTAGATGGACAGCCTTCAGTGCGAAAGGGATTCTAAACCGGATTCTTAACGTTTGTACCAAACCCAAATGAGCTACCCTGGGGTGCTTTATTTTGCAGCTGGTGAGCATTGCTTCTTTGGGAATTTTTCGCTATTCTATTTGTCCTGTCTTATGTATGATTGTGGGCACGGGACTGACTCCTTCCAAATTCTTGTCTCTTGACCTCTTCCCCGATCCTAGGCTCCCTCTCAGAAACTGATCCGTGTTGCTAGGTGATGAGAGTGCTCAGAATTCCAGGCAATCGTCCTTAGTCCTTATCTACCTCGTGGCTGCCCTTTCCCTTTCGGCAGGGAGGCAGGACGGCTTAGCTCCTTGGAGGGCCACTTTCTTTCAAATTATCAGCGGCCCCCCAATGGAGGCACGCAGCCACAGCCCCCCAGGGGAGCTGGGGATTGATACACACACACACACTGTTCCTTCCTGCTCTACTGCCGGGTCAGACTGACTGCATGAGTCAGTCAGTTAGTCAGTTCCCTCTGACTCCTATCAGAATGCTGATCTGGTTCCATCTGTTTCACCAACAGATTCCTACCCTAATACTCCTTCCTGAAACCTGAAATTCTCTATGTGCAGATTCAGAGCTCACTCACATCTCCACCTGACTGAGAAACCGAGACACTTAATTCAGGGTCTTACACATCTCAAGCCTCCAAAAACAACTGAAATGGAATAAAACAGAGTGAATGGTTCAAAACAAGATTGAGGATGGCGACTCCCTTCCCTAGTTTCCAGCTTTACTGCCTGGTGGTCTCTGCAATAATCACAATGGCTTCCTAAGCACTCTCTGTATAACAGACGCTGGGCAATGAACTAACTCACTTCATCCCCCCATCAAGCCTCTGATGTGGGTGCTACTCTTAACCACCCCCTCTTTACAGATGAGAAAAATGAAGTGCAGGGAAGTTAGGGAACTTGTCTGATCCCCACAAAGAGAGTAGCATCAACAGCCTTCAAACCCAGATTGGGCTCCAGAGTCTCTGCTCCCTGTCACTGGGCTATTCTGCCAGCCAGAATTGTTTAGTTCTTACCAGACCGTTTGAAAAGAACTCCAAATGCTCCCCCTCTACTTTCTCACAAGTTTCCCATGCTTTCTTCCCCCCTCCTTCAGAAAATCCATTCTCTACTTTTGTAAGCAAGAGAAAAGTGAAGATATTTTAAAAGCTTGTTATCAGAAGCTTCCTTAAAGAAGTAACTTCCAGTTGGTAAGGGCATGGCATGGAGTCCCTGTCCAGCAGGTTCTCGGTCCAGGATCATTTCCGCACCCCACACCATATCCAATACCAATCCCAGAGCCAAATCGAGGTCAGCCTCTCAGATGTTCCACCCACACGTTACCGTGCAATGGTGACAGATCTGTACGGAGGTGCTCTGAAACCCCAGTGAGTTCTCTCCTTAAATATCAACCATCAAATTACGTTAATAGTAGTTTTATAGTTGAGTGTTTTATGGTATTCTACTTTGCAAAATGATTATGTATAGTACACACTGAAATACTAATCAAATAGAACATGCAATTAACCAGAAAATTCCCTACCTCAAACCATCAGGGATCAATTAGTCGACAAGCAGTTACGGCATATGTACTCCATGCCCGAGCCTGTCTGGGCATCTTGGATCACAAGACAAGGACAGAGTATGTCTCTTCACTCAAGGAGCTTGAAATATAATAGAAACCAACACGTTTGAAAGGAACACACTCAAAGCAAGAGAGAAGAGCCTGATGCCTGGCATACAGTAGGCACTCAATAAATGTTGGTTGGATAAATAAACAAGTGACTAATTTAGTGTCAAGGTTTACTGCAAGAGAATCCATCCTACAGGAATTCAGAGAAGAGAAAGGAAAAGGCAGACTGGATTAATAAAAGAGGCCTTTGGGGCTTCCCTGGTGGCGCAGTGGTTGAGAATCTGCCTGCTAATGCAGGGGACATGGGTTCGAGCCCTGGTCTGGGAGGATCCCACATGCCACGGAGCAACTGGGCCCGTGCGCCACAACTACTGAGCCTGCGCGTCTGGAGCCTGTGCTCCGCAACAAGAGAGGCCGTGACAGTGAGTGGCCCGCACACCGCGATGAAGAGTGGCCCCCGCTTGCCGCAACTAGAGAAAGCCCTCGCACAGAAACGAAGACGTGACACAGCAAAAATAAATAAATTAATTAATTAAAAAAAAAAAAGAGGGCGTTGAAGGGTGAAAGCCCAAGAACTGGGGAAGGGCATATCACGCAGGGGCAAGAGCAGAAGCAAAGCCCAGAGATGAGAACTGAAGATTTGAATATTTGGGGCAGGAAGCAGAGAAGCTTGACCAAAAGGCAAGAGTCTGTCTGGAAGCAGTGAGAGAAAGCTGAGCCATGCCGGGTGATGAGAGAGGATGGAGGTTCAGAAGTCAGGCTGGAGTAGGGTCAAATGGGGAGGCCAATTGAGAACCACTGAAGGTGCCCAGGCGGCAGAAGGACGTGATGAAATCCGTGATTGAGGAAGACTGGTTTGGCAATGGTGCATGGAATGAACTGGAGGCTGAAAAGGACGAATAAAGGAAATTTTATTTGGTGTACATGTGTGTGCGAAACAGAGGAACTGCCAATTTTACAGTTTTCAGGGACTGACATAAAATCGGAAATGGGGCTTCCCTGGTGGCGCAGTGGTTGAGAGCCCGCCTGCCGATGCAGGGCACACGGGTTCGTGCCCCGGTCCGGGAAGATCCCACTTGCCGCGGAGCGGCTGGGCCCGTGAGCCATGGCCGCTGAGCCTGCGCGTCCGGAGCCTGTGCTCCGCAACGGGAGAGGCCACAGCAGTGAGGGGCCCACGTACCGCAAAAAGAAAAAAAAAAAAAAAAATCGGAAACGACCCATGGTATACCCAGGAGTACGAGCTAGTGCTTTTTCAACACTGCACAGCCCAACTTCAGATCTTGTCCACACCCTGAGGTACCAACTCCTGACAATTCAGTTTACCAACCCCTAAGGAAATGGTTATGAGGCATCATTTAAGAGAGGCATGTTGTAATAGGGCAAAATTACAGAAAATGCAAATGATGGAAAAAGTGTTGGCGCTGGAGAAGCACGTTACTACACTTAGTAGCATTCAAAGACACTTAAGTCATTTCCTTAGGAAGCTCTATCTGGCCCTTTCTCAATTGAGAGTGGCATTTTTATTATCATAACTGATAGCAGGTGTTTGTGAAGAAATCGATTAGTATGCAGGGATGGAAATCACATTTTCCAAATGAATTGCATAGTCTGCAAGATATGCTGAAATCTGTGTAGCAAAATGCAAGCAGCCATAAAGCATGTGCCAGCAACATTTCAATAAATTTTCTGAACATAAATACATATAGGGAAGTGCTCCATCCATTATCTTAGGGCTTCTCTTATAAGCCTGTGGAATGGCACTGCTGACATTTCTTATTCTTGGCTTAAGCCAGCTGACCGCTGTTCCTACCAAGTAGGATGCAGTGTCATTTGCATTTCTGGAATACGAATGTGATATCATCATATAAAAAAAGATTAAAAAAACCCCAGCAACTCTAACTCCATCTCCCCCCAATCAATACCATAGCCAATCCCATCAACGTTTTTATAATTGGGGCATGTAACTGATTTACATTCCTTATTAAATAATTTCAAGCTTGATATTTGCAAAGAAAATGTTGGTTACTCATGTGGCAGCAAAGTGGTTTTCTTCTGAAGGGTGAGAAATTATATATTGACTCCACTTAACTTGTGGTCACCTGTTTGTAAACATTATTCAGCACCATGCTGCACGGACCCACCCCTCAGATGAAGCTTCCTGGAAGAAGGTAGATTAGTTTCTTGGATCAGAGCTCTAAAGGAAACAAAATCCTAATAATTTCTAACTTAACATCATTTCTCAGTGTATTCAAAATTCAGAAACTTAAAAGGACCACCCTTTCATTTCTCTCTTTCTCTCTTTCATTCTTTCTAGGACACTGCATTAAAGTAAACAGTTTTGAACGATGTGTAATCAAGCTTCTGTGATAAAACTGACCCCTGAGAGACAGCACAACCAATCCACTATTCAAATAAGAAGGATTAAAAATAAACAACAGTATGCATCTTTTTGTAGGAATCCCTGTGGACTGCACTGTGTTCCAATAAATAGAATATTTGGCTAACATGTGGATTACCAATTTTCAGTAAAATTTTTAAAAAAGAATACGGTGAAGACACTTTACGTGTAAACTATTCTGAACACAACTGAATTTTCCTTTGGTGATTTTAAAGGCACTGCTGAATCCAGGGATGCCTCTGGATTATCATTCATTCATTCACCAATCAGCTATTCACAGTGAAGCCATGTGAGGAGAGCTGTGGCCTCCACGAGGGGAAGGCCAGTGTAGGCATCAGTTTATACTGGCTCAGGACCTTAGGAAAATTCTGCCACAGGGATTTTCTGATTGGATTAGACCAAAATGACAACGTTGGAAAAACTCTGCTAAACAGGATTAAATTCCATTTCAGAACTTAGCACTAGGCTACTAAAATTACCAAAGTGTATATAAGTTGATCCAAAGATTAAATTGCACTGCTGAAGAAGAGACTTAAAGGCATTACAGCACCTTGCTGCACCCTTGACTAGATCCTATAGAAACCATTAGTCTTTGTATTAATTATGGCCAGAGTGACCTCCTCCTGTGTCTCTTCCATCACTTACTGTGTTTCCCTGGGAACAGATAATGGCAGGCTTACCTTCTTTAAGTAAATACTCTGCTAAAAGCCTTGAAATCTCTCTCTTAGCACCCTGAGCCAGCCTCAGAAAAATAATTAGCCCTATATGAAAATATGTAAGTTATTTTGGGTTATGTCCCTGTAAGCTGACAGTATGTTAATATCTCTTCCATGCTCAGGCAAGATGCTACTAAATAATCAAACACTTTTAACATATTGTTTCTAACAATAT